ACATTAAATAACGTTGTCCTGAACTGCCGGACTGTCACCTCCAGGGGAGACCTGGCCACTTGCCCCGCAGGTGAGTGGAGAGGTCTGTTGTCCAGGCTCCTAGCTCTGTTCCAAGTCCCTTGGAGTCCCCGCCGCTGCTTCCCTGGGTCCGGGTCTGGACCCCGGCCTTCTCTGCCCAGCCCGGCTCCGGGACCCCACTTCCTTAGGACACTGGTGTCCAGGTCCCCAGCCGCCCCGCCCCGCCCCCATGCGTCGGGCGCGCCCATTCGCTGGTGGGAGCCTCCGGCCACCCCGCCCCCCACCCCGCAGCCCCCCAGCTCGGGGTCCAAGCTCCCCGGGTCGCGCCCGCAGGCTTCGCCATCACCGGCTGCACGTGTGGCTCCGCCTGCGGCTCGTGGGACGTGCGCGCCGAGACCACATGCCACTGCCAGTGCGCGGGCATGGACTGGACCGGAGCGCGCTGCTGTCGCCTGCAGGTCACCCGTGCCTGAGGTCGCGCGTGCGCCGCGGGGGCTGGGGGGGCGAGGTCAGGCCGGGGGCGGGGCTGGAAATAAACCAGGAGCTGGTGATGATGACGTTAATGGAGCCAACCTGAGCTTCGTGCGGTTTCTTTATTGGGGGGACGGTTACCGCGACGATCTTCTGCCCCACCCCACGTCGTCCCAAGGTGCCTCCCACCCTTTCCTCTGAGAATAGGGACTCAGCTTCCTCTAATGACACCGCCACCCAAGGTTGGTGGCCGCCTCCAGGAAGGGAAGTGACGCTCACGTTTGAGGCCACCTTGACGGTCACCCTCGGGTCTCTGACCTCCCCAGGAAGTTTCTGGGTCATTCTGCCACTCACCCCAACAATGAAGCGTCTTCTAGGATCAGGGTCAGTCTGGGTAGTGGATGGGACGCTCCAGGGCCCCAAGACCCCAGCAGCTACAGGGTCAGGGCTGGCCCCTGAATCGTCTCTCAGCCCAGAGCCCTGAGACCCTTCCCCGCCCTTCCCACCTTGGAGGAGGAAACCCCAAGGCCCAAGGAAAGTCAGGTCACCGACAGGAAAGAATCTTCGTAGGGGCCGACAGAGAACTTCTACCTGAGGTCTCGCATCATAAGCTTACGTTTTCTAAGGTACAGGTGCAGTTGCAAGAAGTTAGTTACAACCGGGTGTGCACAGGGCACCTACCCGCCCATGAACACTAGAATAGGAAACACAGCGCAGGGGAAGTGTTTGCTCCTTGTATCCCTCCCTGGGGCTTAGAATAGAGCATGGCACACAGTAGGTGCTCAGTAAATGCCTGTTGAATAAATAGCTGCGTGTACACTTAGAGACAACACCCAGGTGTACAGACTGCGTGTACGTACACAGCCTATAACTCGCCATGGTCACACAGAGACATCATGTCCACAGACACACCCATGTACCCACAGACACACAGGCACACAGAAAGGCAACCCCGAATGCACACAGAGAATCACAGGTAGGTGCGTGGTGGGGAGAGCAGACACGGGAACACAGACACATATATGCTCCAGACAGACTCCTGTGCTTCCAACGTCAAGTCTCCACTGCACCCAGGATGAGTACTCAATGCCCCAGAGGGCAAAAGCCCTGGTGTCCCCGGCCCTAGGTCCCTGGGGGGACAAATCTAGGTGACTCAGGGTCCAGCTCTCCAGGAATCCTAACCCAGGAGTCTTGGCATCCAGCCCCCGAGAGATGCAACCACAGACTTCAGGTGCTGGGTTCTCTAGCACCCAGTCTTGAAAGGGATCCCAGATTCAATAGTCACGCATGGAAAATAGGTAATAGGGTGAGGTCCTGGTTTGCAGGATTTTGGACTCTCCTCCCGCTGCCATCCACCCACTATGATGCACCAGCCCCTGTCGGATCATGGCAGCCATGAGCAGAGATCACAAACACTCCTGGTGCCCTGGAGCCCACCTAGACTCCTAGCCCACCTAGACCCAGGGATTCCTTTCCCAGACCCTCCCTCCTGACACCACTGTGGCCATGGGGTATGCACTGGGACCCCTGAGTCAGAAGTGTGGTCAGGGCCAGATAGGGTGAGGCTAGTGCCTTGTGAGTTCTACCTCCTCACTGGTGTTGTGTGTGGGGTGAGGGACCTTATTGTCCCAAGACCCTGGTGTGAATGTCTCTTTGTCTCCAAGCCCCGCTCAATTGTCCCCCTGTATTTGGACCCCAAGAAGAGCCCTCATTTCCAACTCAGACATCTTCCTGTCCCAGAGTGCAGACTTGGAGATCATATCTGCATATGTGACTTAGACAGGGAAGATCCCTACTTGAGCCTCTGTTTCCTCATCAGCCAATGCCTAGCCCCCATGGTAGGCATAATTCTTTTGGTTGCAAATGCTGGAGACCTCACTAGCTTGAGCAAAAATAAAAGGAAGTTTCTGGCTTGTGTAACTGACAGGCCCAAGGTTAGAACAACAGGTTCAGGTATGGCTGGATCCAGGGTCTCAAATGATGTTTCCAGGGCACAGATTCCCTCTCAGGTGTGCTTTCTCAGTGCTGCTTTTTTTTTTTTTTCTTTTTGAGACAGAGTCTCACTCTGTTGCCTGGGCTAGAGTGCCGTGGCATCAGCCTAGCTCACAGCAACCTCAAACTCCTGGCTCAAGCAATCCTCCTGCCTCAGCTTCCCAAGTAGCTGGGACTACACGCATGTGCCACCATGCCCGGCTAATTTTTTCTATATATATTTTTAGTTGTCTGGCTAATTTCTTTTTATTTTTAGTAGAGACGGGGTCTCACTCTTGCTCAGGCTGGTCTCAAACTCCTGAGCTCAAATGATCCACCCACCTCGGCCTCCCAGAGTGCTAGGATTACAGGCGTGAGCCACCGCACCTGGCCTCAGTGCTGCCTCCACTCTCAAGTAGGTTCTTCCCTGTCACAACTACAGGCTTACACCCTCCCCAGCTGGCAGTCCCAGTGAAGAGGGGAGAAAGAGAGAAAGGCTTTTTGCCTGGTTATACCAACAAAAGTCCCAGATCAGAGTATCATTGGCTGGATCAGGCTCCAATGCCCGCCCCTGTGCCCAATCTTAGACACTAATTGTCTGGGCCTCAATCATGCACCCACCCTAAACCAATACCTGGTTTATGGTTGGCTGGATTTAGGACACATTTTCTTTTTTAAAAGAGCAGAACCCCCTCCCAATTGGTCCTTCTTCTCTGAGGCTGTTCCATCAGAAGGCAGTCCCAGGCAGGCATCAAATCACTATTAAATTGATCTTTCTTAGAGAGACAGGGTTTGGCAATACTTTAGAAAATATAGCATTATCTTCATGAGATCTTAGGAATAATCATTCCAAATTTATCTCGAATTTAACCACATAATTGAAACCAAAGCATACTCACTTCCTGTCCATAGTCAGAAAATCTCATTTTTCCCCCAAAGGGAGAAAACTGTAATAATCTAGACCTGCGCTGTCCAACAGCAGCCATTGAGCACTTGGAATCATGTGACCGGCCCAAAATAACATGCTCAATCAATACATACTTAGTACCCAAAAAAAAAAAAAAAAGGAATGTAAGCTAGCTCATTAATTTTTAAATATCATCTACATGCAGAAATGATAATAGTTTGGGTGTATTATGTTAAATAAAATGCTATTAAAATTATTTGAGCTAATATCTTTTTACCTTTTCAATGTGGCTGCTAGAAAAATTTAAATTAAACACGTGCCTCACATTGTATGTCTCTTGGAGGCACCGCTGTAGACTTAAGGAAAAAATTCTTTATATTCTTCATGCCTTCTGTAAGCCCCGTTTTCAAGGTCAGATGAACACAAAGAAGGCTTTAAGACACCTTCTAGGGCCAGGCGCGGTGGCTCACGCCTGTAATCCTAGCACTCTGGGAGGCCGAGGTAGGCGGATCATTTGAGCTCAGGAGTTGGAGACCAGTGTGAGCAAGAGCGAGATCCTGTCTCTACTAAAAATAGAAAGAAATTAGCTGGCTAAAAATATACAGAAAAAATTAGCCGGGCATGGTGGCGCATGCCTTAGTCCAAGCTATTTGGGAGGCTGAGGCAGGAGGATCACTTGAGCCCAGGAGTTTGAGGTTGCTGTGAGCTAGGCTGATGCCACGGCACTCTAGCCCAGGCACCAGAAGGAGACTCTGTCTCAAAAAAAAAAAAAAAAAAAAAGAGACACCTTCTAGACAGCGTGTAGACGCGTGAACATGCACGTATGTCTATTTCTCTGGGTGACACAATGCAAGCATGCAAATGAGTGTGTGGTGTGTTTCTGTGAGCAGATTGTGACCGTTCGGAAGTGTGTGTGCATGCATGCGTGTGCGTGTGTGTGTGCGCACACAGATGGATGGGTGAGAGTAAGAAATCTGGGGTCTCTGGGTGGAGCGGAAACTGTACCTCCAGGGTTCTGCCCAAGCAGGAGATGAGAGGGATGTGACTCTGCCCTCAGTCCCAGATGTGGGTGTGGCGTTCCAGTGGTTAGTCCCTGTTGCCTCACATCCGTGCCTTTCCTCCACTGGGCCTTGGAGAAGTAGCCCTTCTTGGGGTGGAGCTGAGGGGTGGGACGGAGGGGGTCATTGGAGGGAGGTGTGGGGGGCCCCAGGAATCCTACCTCCAAGCCCTGCTGCCCTCACCCTAAAAGGTGGGACCCTGAGGTGTCACAGCTTGAGACAGAGAGGAAGTAGGAGAATGAGATCCATCCGGGGACACACACGCACACAGCTTCCTGTAACGTTGCCCACCACTCTGCTCTGTCCCCAGGTCTAGGGGCTTCTCTTCCTGGCCCTCCCTCACACCTTTGGTCTCCGAAGACCCTTCTTAATCAAGGGACAACGATGCCCTAGGTTGAAAGGAGTGTCGTGGATCTCTAAAAGGAGGAGAGGAGGCTGGCTCCTCTTTCCTGCCCCTGGCCCCTAGATTTCCCCATCTGCCTCGACATCTTCCGGTGGGTGGGGATGTGTGTGAACAAACTAGCCGGCTGTGGGCCATGGGAGCTGAAGAAAGTACACAGAAGGTACCAGAAGTACCACAAAGTCGAGATGCAGGCGGCTGCCTTCAAGGATAAGAAACGGGGGTCCCCGGCCCATCGGGAAGGTTAGGGACGTCGAGGTGGGAAGGGAGAGGGTGGGAAGGAGATATGAGATGGGAGAGGTGAGGGGCTGGAGGTGGGGGCTGGGAGGCTCCTTTCCCTCCAAGATGTGTGCTTGTGTATGTGTGTGTGTGTGAGTGTGTGTGTGTGTGCGTGTGTGTGTGTGTGTGTGTGTGTGTGTGTTAGAGAGACAGACAGAGAGAGAATATGTCGCCCAAACCCCCACATACACCCACTCTGCTTAACCAAGAAGCAGATCTTAGTTCCTTGCTTCTTATTTATTTTATTTGTTTTAGAGACAAGGTCTCGTTCTGTCACCGAGGCTGGAGTGCAGTGTCACAATCATACTTGACTGCAACCTTGAACTCCTGGGTTCAAGCAATCCTCCTGCCTCAGCCTCCCGAGTAGCTGGGACTACAGGCGAGCACCATCACGCCTGGCTAATTTTTAAGTTTTTTTTTTTTTTTTTAGAGATGGAGTCTTGCTATGTTGCCCAGGCTGATCTCAAACTCTTGGCCTCAAGCGATCCCTCCTGCCTTGGCCTCCCAAAGTGCTGGGATTACAGGCGTGACTCACCACACCCAGCTCTCCTCATTTTATTGTTTTTTTACCCCCAGAAATGTATTGTGTGCAGAGGTTGGGTGAACCGAGATCTCTGACTGCCCACCCCCCACAACCCCCAGAGCTCTGGGCAGGTGTCCACAACCCCTTCCACTGACCCACACACAGGTGCCAAGGACCCTGACTACGAGAATATCACCTTGGCCTTCAGAAACCAGAACCAGCCAAAGGGTGGTCACCCACCGCCCACGAGTCAAGGTGAGCAGACGCCCGCCTGCCCTCATCCCACAGCCTTGGGAAGGGGTGAGTGTGGGAGGGAACTGCAGGGACAAGAAAGCTGAATGGTGTGCAGTGTGTTGGCATCAAGGACTGTGACAGGGGTGGCTTTGTAGGTGGTGACAGGGATGGGGTATCTGAAATGCTGGGGATGGTGTTGTTGATTGACTTGGCGAGGGTTTGGGGGACAGTGTTAGCGAGAGTGAATGTAAGTGACAAGGTGTTGAATCAGGAAGGAAGCCAACAGAACCAATGAGGTCAGTTGACAGTGACAATGTTGGCAACCATGGCGCTGGTGCCATGCTTGTTGTACAGTCTGCAAAACCGTGAACCAGGTGATTTTTTTATAAATCACCCAGTCTCAGGTACTCCTTTATAGCAGCTCAAAACACACTAACACTCGTGGGCGTTGACATTGGCGAGTGTTGGTGACCGAGTTAGTAAGGGTGTCTGGCAGCGTTAGGGATAAAGACTGAGGGCGAACGTTGGTGGCAGTGTCCTGCATGGTCACACCCGCTGATGGTGTTGGGAAGAGCGAGTTGTCCATGGTGGACAGTCTGAGTGACGGTGGTGGGCGCTGGTTGGTCACCTGGCCTGTTTCTCCACCCCATTCCCAGCCCAGCCCAGGTCACCCTTGGACCCTGCCCAGGTCCCCCACTGGCCGTACAGGGCCATCATGAGCCTGTACATCCTCCTTGCTGTGGCCCTACTGTTCTGCATCATTCTCTCGGCTCTAGTCATGGTGAAAAGTGAGTGTTTATTCTTGGGGGGTGTGGGGCACTGGGGAACCCGCACTTTCCACCCTGTCTCTTTTTATTATTTCAAAATATTAAGGGGGTACAAATGTTTGTGTTGCCTGGATAGCTTTTATAATGCTTTAGTCAGGGCTATAAATGTGCCCGTCGCCCGAATGGCGTTCATTGCACCTGTTAGGTAGTTTTTTTCCCTCTCCCTTCCTCCCCCCCTTCCTGATTTCCAATGATTTTTATTTCCTTCTGTGCCCATTAATTAGTTTCAAATTATTAGAGAGTACACGTGGTGTTTGTTTTTTCATTGTTGAGATACTTCACTTAGGATAATGGTCTCTAGTTCCATCCAAATTGCTGCAAAAGACATTAATTCATTTCTTTTTATGGCTGAGTAGTACTCCATGGTGTACAGATACCACATTTTCTTAATCCACTCATGAATTGATGGGCACTTGGGTTGATGCCACATCTTTGCAATTGTGAATTGTGCTGTAATAAACATTCGAGTGCAGGTGTCTTTTTGATAAAATGACTTCTTTTCCTTTGAGTGGATACCCAGTAGTGGGACTGCTGGATCGAGGGTAGGTCTACTTTTAGCTCTTTGAGGAATCTCCACACTGTTTTCCTTTTTTTTTTTTTTTTTTGAGACAGAGTCTGGCTCTGTTGCCCGGGCTAGAGTGCCGTGGCATCAGCCAAGCTCACGGCAACCTCAAACTCCTGGGCTCAAGCGATCCTCCTACCTCAGCCTCCTGAGTAGCTGGGACTACAGGCATGAGCCACCGTGCCCGGCTAATTTTTTCCATATATTTTTAGTTGTCCAGCTAATTTCTTTCTATTTTTAGTAGAGACGGGGTCTCACTCTTGCTCAGGCTGGTCTTCAACTCCTGACCTTGAGCGATCCTCCCGCCTCGGCCTCCCAGAGTGCTGGGATTACAGGCATGAGCCACCGTGCCCGGCCTCCACACTGTTTTCCATAGAGGTTGTACGAATGTGCAGTCCCAGCTGCCACCCTGTTTCTTCCCTCCCGCACACTCTCTTCCTGTCCCTTTCCCCCAGCGGAGGAGCTGGAAGGGTTTTCCTGTTCCCTCTTGAACAGATTTTGAGATATCCAAGGAGGTGCAGGATTTGAAAACGGAGCTTTGGAATGGTGAGCAGAGAGGGTCTGGGGCAGACCCATGGGGTTGTGGCGGGCCTGGGGAGAGGGCTGGCTGCACAGACACCCCTATTCCATGCCCTCAGTGTCAAAGTTGATGCAAGAGTGTGAGAAGAGGCAGGAGGCGAACCGCCACTCCATTCAGCAGAGCATCTTCGAGGTCAGGAAGAAGGTGGAGAAGCTGGAGACGCAGCCAGCAGGTGCCTGAGCAGCTCTGTCCTTCGTGGGGGTGCTCAGTTGCTGGACTGGGGGCGGAGGATTCAGGAGGGGAGACAGTGGGGGTCCTGCCCTCCCACAGCTCAGGGTTTGGAGGCCTGATGGATGCTGCCCCCTGAGACACTCAGGAGCTATTTAAAAGCAGCTAGGAATGGGCACCCCAAATACATAGGCTGTGCTGCATCGGCAGGCTGGGGGTTGGGCAGAGAGGGGGCTTTGTCTGAGGTTCCACCCAGCTTCAGCTGTCCCCACTCACCACCCCTCCCCCGACAGAAATAAACAAAATCAGCACAAGCATAGAGAAAATCTTACAAGCTCTGGAGAAGAAGCCAAGTGCATGTAAGTTGGGGAGCAGGGAGATGGATGAGGGTGGGGCCTTGGATTGAGCCCTGGCTCCTCTCCCAAGGGCAGGATCTGCCTGACTTTGGGTCTGTCCACCCCCAACCCCCAGAGCCCCAACTTGAACAAATGAGATGCCATCGTAGCCACAGCATGGCGGACGGGATTGCACCTGCCAAGGAAAACGGAAATGGAGCCCCGAGTCTAATGTGAACCTGCCCGTCGGCCCAAATGTAGAAAATCGTGTGTCGTGGTGAACGAGTGTTGCAGAGCTGCTCTCAAATGTGTGTGTGTGTGTGTGTGTGTGTGTGTGTGTGTGTGCGTGTGTGTGTGTGTGAGCATTTTGTGGAGGGTGGGAGTTTCAGAGTGCCCCCAGGAATGTGGTGGGTGATGATCAATGTTGGAGTGATAGTGAGTGTGGTGTGCATGCCCATGTCACGTGACATGTGTGAGTATAGGCATGTCTCGGTGGGTGGCTGTCTGTGTCAGTGTGTCACTGTGAGTGTAGTATTCATGACATGCATCGCACGTGCCTGAGTGTACTGTGATATGCTGCGTGTATAAACATTTCCTGGCGGGAGGTGTGTGTTGCACACTGCTAGAAATGTGAGAGTCGCAGTGTGTGCCTTGCACTCCCTGGGCCAGAGCTCAGTTAGGTCACCCTGTGTGTTCAGGGCGCACACACGCACGTGCTCGGGCCCATGTATTTCTGCACTCGCGTTTTGTGATTGGTGAAGATAAACCAATAAAGTCAAGGGAAAACCACAGTGGCTTTGGGACCTGTTATTGGGGCAACTGAGGGGTCTCAGGACCTGGAAGGAGGGAGAGTCTGGAAGTGCTTGGACTTGGCGATGGGACAAGTGGTGGGCGAGAATGAATGCCCTGTGTGAGTTCTCGTGCGTCCCTGAATGTGGAGCTGAGCCCCTGTGCCCCCGAGTGGGTGCCCATGCGTACATGTGTCCCGGGTGGACATGGCCTGAGTGTACAACGCCTGCCTGAGTGTGCTTGGGCCCACAGATATACACGAGCTCCTAAGCGTGTACCCACGAGTGTAATTGTGCCTGCGAGTGTATTCGCGCCACTGAGCACATACCCAAGAGTGTGAACGACCCCAAATGTGCCAGGCCCCACGGCTTAGGGACGTACTTGAGAAAAGAGAACACGTGCCCAAGGACATAGGTGTCTAGAGACAAGAGCATATGTCCGTGTCCAAGGACATGTATGTGCCCCTGAGACAACAGACGCGTGCCCACTGTCATATGCGTGCCCCTGAGCAGGTGACTACGCGTGCTACTGTCCCCCTCATCGCAGGCCACCCAAGGCCGGTGACACCCCTGGACACGCGGAGAGCAGCCATCTGAGCCGCAGCCTGCGCCCCTCCGTCCGGCCCAGTGGACACGCGCGCCCCCTGGCGGCCGCCCTCCGGCCCTGCCCCGCGCGCCCCGCCCACCCACACGCCCCGCCCACTCAAGGCCCGGCCCGTATCGCGCCTGCGCACGCCGCGCCTTTTACGGCGCCGTAAAGCAGCTCGGCCGAGCCGACGGCCTAGGTTCCCGGTGAGAACCCGTCCGCCCGCGACCCCTCCCCGTGCCGGGTCTCGTCCACTCCCCGCCCCTCTCTGAGGACCTGTGGGTCCTGGGCCGAGGTCTCGGCGTCCGCAGTCCCCCGTCCCCCCGCCCTGGGATGCGACGAGGAGGGGGTAGGCTCCTCCCCGGTCCAGAGGTCCGGGGCGGGGGTCTCGGGGCCCCGGCCTTTCGGCGGCTCAGTTCACCCACCCCCATCGCAGCCCAGTGGGGGTGTCTCAACACTCCCTATTCCCATCTCGCGCGCTCTGGGCCCTGCACCTGGTGGCGGCTGAGTGCTGGAGCGGCCGGAGCCCCGGTCCCCCTCCCCCCGCTAGTTCCCCCACCTCCAGCCATACAGACCTTATGGGGGCCGCCTTGGCATTCCCAGACCCCTCTGGCCGGGTCAGTGCATGCTGGGGGCGGGGTTCTCAGCTGCCCCTCCCGACCCTGCCACCGGACTGGGCGAGAGTAGAGTAGGAGGGAGGGTGTCTCAGCGCCCCGGCTCGGATCCTCTCCAGCCGCCCCCTTCCCATCTCCCTCTTCCCCTCATGGACAGCTGTGGCTTCATGCGCCCGGATGGGAGGATCACAGCGCCCTCTCCTGGCTTCCCCAACCCCCGGGACTGACAGCGCGCCCCTCCCTCTACTTTCTCGCCCCGCCCAGCTACCTTTCTGGAGAGCATGGGTGGGGGTAGGGGGCTCCCAACGCCTTCCCTGGGCCCCTCCTTCCAGCCTGTAGAACCCAGGCCCGCCCACGTTGCAGAGGACGGAGGCTTCCTGCGTGGCTTCCTGATCGGAGCTGCCTGAGCACTTTGGGTTGGGGGTTACCCATGACTCCTGGCCTGCCCCACGGATCTAGCCTGTTCCCCAGGGCCCCAACTCTCCTGGCCTTTGGTCTTGACACACTTTTACCCCACCCCACCCCCGCCTTACTCTGGCTTTCTGCAGAGAGCAGGCAGGAAAGTTCCCCAGGGTAGTCAGTGCTGGAACCGTATGGCGGGGGAGGCTCATTGCCTGTGTCGCCTCCCTGCCTTAGTTCTGACGTCTCTCCCCCCATGCACTAGTTTCCTAGTTACTCCCACAGGTGGCGGGGGGGGGAGGGACACAAAGGCGCGAGGGTGGGGTGCTTTCTAGCTCCTGCTCCTGGTGGTCCTCATGTCTCTCCTCCCACCTTAGCACCCCGCCCCCCCAATCCGCTATGCCCGCCAAGGGTGTATGTCTGCCCGCTCCCCATCTGTCTTTCTCTGGCTAAGCGTGATGGAGGCGTGGAGGCGTGTCTATGCGCAATTTGGTCCTTCCTTTCCTAAACGTCTCTTCCCAAGTGGAGAGTCTCTGCTAGAGCGCACCCTGGTGGCAAGACTCTGGGGAAGGGTTTTCCCAGGGCCCCACTGGGTTCTCCTCTGGGCCTCCCTGCCAGGTTCCCTTCCTATCGCATTTGACACCCTGGTTTCCTCGTGTCCCCGTAGGGCGGCGGCATGGAGGCGCGCTTCACGCGCGGGAAGTCGGCGCTGCTGGAGCGCGCGCTGGCGCGGCCGCGCACGGAAGTGAGCTTGAGCGCCTTTGCACTGCTCTTCTCCGAGCTGGTGCAGCACTGCCAGAGCCGCGTCTTCTCGGTGGCGGAGCTGCAGGCGCGCCTGGCTGCGCTGGGCCGCCAGGTGGGCGCGCGCGTGCTGGATGCGTTGGTGGCACGCGAAAAGGGTGCCCGGCGCGAGACCAAGGTGCTAGGCGCGCTGCTCTTCGTCAAGGGCGCCGTGTGGAAGGCGCTGTTTGGCAAGGAGGCCGACAAGCTGGAACAGGCCAACGACGACGCGCGAACCTTCTACATCATCGAACGCGAGCCACTCATCAACACGTACATCTCCGTGCCCAAGGAGAACAGCACACTCAACTGCGCCAGCTTCACAGCGGGCATCGTGGAGGCCGTGCTCACGCACAGCGGCTTCCCTGCCAAGGTCACGGCACACTGGCACAAGGGCACCACGCTGATGATCAAGTTCGAGGAGGCAGTCATCGCCCGAGACCGGGCCCTGGAGGGCCGCTGACGCTGTGGGAGATAAAGGATGCAGAGCTTCCCCTCTCCCAGTGTGTCTGCGTTTTGCGTGGGGGCCTCAGATCCACTCGACACCTTGGGGTGGGGGTTGGGGAGGGTGGTCTGGCGGAGCTTGGGCTTTTAGAGGGGGCTGGAGGTTGGGTGAGGCCAGAGGCGATGGGGACATAAACCAGGCAGGAGGAGCTGGTGGGCAATGCTGGCACTTTCTGGAACTGCAATTGGAGGCTGTCTCGGTGGGGGTGTTCCTGGTGGAGGATTTAGGCTAAGACAGGCTGCTTTAGACACTGGTTGGCAAAAGGAACCAGATATAATTCGTTCCATGTGGTCTTGCCCAGCCTTTTTTTTTTTTTTTTAAATAGAGACAGAGTCTCACTCTGTCACCTAGGCTGGAGTGCAGTGGCATTGTCATAGCTCACTGCAGCCTCAAACTCCTGGGCTCAAATGATCCTTTGGCCTTGGCCTCCCAAGTAGCTGTAACTATAGGTGCCTGCCACCACGCCTGGCTAAGTTTTTCATTTTTTGTGGAGACAGGGTCATGCTGTATTGCCCAGGTTGGTTTTGAACTTCTGGGCTCAAGCGATCCTCCTGCTTCGGCCTCCCAAAGTGCTGGGATTACAGGTGTGAGCCACCGCACCCGGCCTTGTCGAACCTCACTGTTATGCTGAGGTAGCCAAAGCAGTCACAGACAGTATGTAAGCAAGTGGGCCTGGCTGTGCGCCTGTAAGACAGGCAGAGGGGGGTCGTCTGTCTCCCTCCTTTCGACCTTTGCTGCTCAAAAGTGTGGTCCCAGCATCACCTGAGAGCTTGTCAGAAATGCAGACCCTCAGGCCTTCCCCAGACCCCGTGAGTCCAAGTCTGTGTTTTAGGAAGGTCCCCAGGGCGTTCCTGGATCTTTAGGGATTTGTCCATCACAGGTGGCAGGGCCCCACCCCCAGAGTTGCAGATTCTGCAGGTTTGGGGTGTGCCTGAAAATCTGCGTTTCTAACAAGTCGGGAGGAAGAGGAGAATGAGGACAGGGAACCCAGCACCAGCCCTCGGTGGCCAGGCAAGCGGCATCACCTCGTGTCCCGGGCCATGAACCAGGTTCCGAGAGAAGTCATTTGTCCGTGGTCACACAGATTTATTAATTTGACAAACATTTATCGAGCACCTACCCTGTGTCAGGCACTGGGCACACCACTGAGAACAAAGGCGCCTGCCCTCCTGAAGTTCACATTCTAACCGGAGAGCTGACAACAGAAATCAGTCAAGGGTGGGTTTTGTTAAAAGGGGAAGTGTGTCGTGGTGAGAAAGCACAGCGGGGACTGGGGGACAGGGAGTTGGGGTGTGATTTAAGGGCAGATGGGAGTGGGGAGACACTCAGGATGGGCCCCACTGGGAGCAAAGAGACTTGGAGGATGAAACAAGCAGGGGGGAACTGCACGTGCAAAGGCCCTGGGGTGGGGGCGAGGCTGCATGTCCAAGGAGCAGCGAGGAGGCTGGTGGGCTGGGTTCTGTGGTCACTGAGGGACCTTGTAGGACTTTGGTTTTCTCTGTGAGCCGATTGTGAGTGTGGTCGGGACAGTGGAGCCCGCAGGACTTGGAGATGGGGTCAGGGGAAAGGGAGGAGGCGTGAATGACCCCAGTGTGGGCCTGAGCAACAGAGGAGTCTGAGGAGGGATGTCTTGCCATCCTGACCTCCCTCTTGTGGCCTCAGGGGAATGGGCTGACCCCAGCCTAGCCTGGGGCTGGGACCAGCACCTCCAGACCTGAACTTGCCTGCAACTCCCCAGCCAGCACTTAGTGGGCACCTTCTGTATACCAGGCCCTGTTCTGGGCACTTGCCATGTGTCAGCCTCCTCCGACAGACCTAGGCTGAGGAACTCGGCTCAGGGTGGTCCACTGCCTTCTCCTACAGTACTGTCAGGGGGTCTGCCGGGCCCCAGAGTCTTCATCTGCGGGTTCCACCTAGTACATTCTTGTAACGAAGTAGGAAAGCATACAAAAGGTGGGGAAGGTACAGATTGCTCTTTGGTGGCACTTTGGTGGCTCACAATGGTCAAAGGTGGTCTCGGGCACCAGGCTTCAGAATTCGCAGCTGCCACATGCCACACCCGGAGACCAGACCAGACCAGACCCAGCCAGGCCTCTGAGGAGGGGACCAGGGTGTGGGGCCTTTGTACTGATGCAAGCTGGGCAGGAGGGCTCGCTGCCTGAGCTGGGGGTCTCTGTCCTGCAGTGCTGCATCTGGGGAGGGCCGTAGGGGGGACAGTCTGATGGGGCAGGGGCCGCAGAGGAGCTGGGCGTGGGCCAGCTGCCCCAGTTTGGGTGGGTGAAAATGTCACGGGGCCCTTTCGGCCGCAGAGGCACCCAGGCCTCAGGGTCCCACTCTGGGCCTGGCTGTTGCATGTTGGCGAGGGGTCGGGGAGAGGACCACAGAGGGGCTGGGCAGGTGACTGTCAAGGTCAAAGGCTTGGAGTAGTTCCCGGGGGCCCCTCGGGGGTCGAGGTGGCGGGCGGCCCGCATGTGGCCAGCCGGTCGCACACCCAGCTGTCCAGCTTGCTGTGGCAGGCGGCGTCGTTCCACTGGCCCGAGCCCCGCATCATCACGCAGTCCTCGCCCTGGCCCTGGTTGTTGGGTTCGCCGGGGTACCAGTTGCTGGAGGGAAAGGCTTCAGGTCGGAGGCCGGGGCAGGGGGCAGGGACGTGTCCCTCTCTGAGCCCGGGCCCTCCCTTCTCAGCACGGGCTCCCCCTTTCCCCTTTCCCCTTTCTCACCGCTTCTCCCACCGCCCAAGACTCGCCTTCCCAATCTGTGCCTGGAGCGTCCTCCCCGTCCCCTGGGGCCTCAGTCTTTCACCTGCACCCCAGAGGCCCCCTCCCTGACCCCTGACCCCTCCGCGATGGGACTCCTCCCCAGCTCCTCCCTCTGTGGTACCCCCGCCCGCTCACCTGTAGCCCATGGGGCTCCCGTCCATCCAGGTGAACTGCCCCTCCCTGTCCAGGTCCTGGAGGCCGATCCAGGAGCCCTTCCAGTTGGCCCGTTTGCTCAGGAAGTCCTGGGGGCAGGACAGGGCTGGAGGACGGGGGAGACGTGCCCGGGTCCCTCCCGCCTGCCATGGAGGTTGGGGTGGCGTGGGGATCCCCTCGCCCCCCACCCCTGTGCCATGCTGCCCACGGCCTCTGCAGAGCCGGGGCCCACCTGCTCCTCCGCGCTGTGGATGCTGGCCAGGCGGCCCCCCAGGTCCTCGCAGGCGTACTGCGCGTGGAGCCACTTCTTGGCGCCCTCCCCGAAGTAGTAGCACTTCTGCTGGAAATGGACCCACTCGTCGGGGCAGGTGTCGCACGCGGCGCCTGGGGTGGAGGAGGGGCTCAGGGGGCAGCGGGCACCGAGATGGGCACAGTGGGCAGGTGGGGGGCAGCATCCTCCTGGGGTCACTCCTAGGGTCTGGGCTGGAAGGTGACCCACCCCAGGGCCACCTAATAGACAGTCTTGCAGGCTGCCTTCTTCCCTGGAGTTATGGCGCCGGCCAGCTCTGTGGCAGGAGCACCTCGGCCACCCAGCCACCGCCACAAGCACCTCCATGGTTAGCAGAATGGCAGCCCCCAGCGCCACCGCTGCCAACGCTGCACGGGTGGCAGCCCCTCACCTACCACCGACATCTCCACAGACACCTCGTGGCTTGGAGCACCTCAACCGCCAACACCATCACCATAAATACATCGGTGGCAAGCGACACATCAGTCACCCACGCTGTCACCACATTCACGCCCAATGACATTCAGCCCCTGCCACGGCCACCGCCATGGCCGGCAACACCCCGTCACCAACACGATCGCCACGCTGCGAGTCCCACGCTCAGCAGCTTCTCAACCACAAACACCTTCAGGGTTAGCAACGCCTCAACCACCACCGCCATTGCCACGAACACCGCCAAGGTCGACGGCAACTTCGTCACCAGCATCGTGACCACGGGCACCTGCCACCGCCAGTGACGTGTCTCACCACCCACCCCAGTGCCAACACCGTCTTTACCAACCACGCCAGCCGCGTCTCAAACACCAGTACCAAGGGCGGCAGCACGGGGCGGCGCTGTGGCCAAGTACGCCAGCGTCATTTTCTCCCAGCGCTGTCCTCACCAACGGCCCTGGCCACCAAAACCAGAGCTCCTGGCCACTTTCTGGGAAGTGGAGATGGTTTTGTTCCCGTTGGAGGCAATCCGGCCAGGAGAGACAACAGGGAGGGAAAAAGGGGACTGCAGGGCTCTGGGGGTGTGGTGTTAACACAGGAAGGGGACATCTCTGGGCCCTTAAAGAAACTCTGGGGAAGGAGTCTTGGCTGTTCGTTACGTGGTCATAGTGTCAGAGCTGGGCTCAGACCCCAGGCCATGGGGGACCTCAAGGACTGGGTAGGACTTGGGAGGTGACCTGTCAGAAGTGAGCATGACCCAGAATCCCCCATCCCCCCCCCGTCCCCGAGGGACCACAGCGGGGTTTCTTGCTGGGACTCCCACATCCCAGGGGACCAGACTCCTTCACACCAAGCAAAGATCCTTCCTCTTCTCTCGCCCGGTTGGGGCAGTGGGGCTTCCCGGAGGTGGAAGACCGCAGTTCACCGGCAGGGGTGTTGGTTTGGGGCTGGGCAGCAGGGCTGTAAAATCCCGGTTCCCACCCTCGTTAAGGGTACAGTGATTGATTGAATGAATGAGTGAATGAACGTCTGCTGTCTCTGCAGCCTGCTGGCCTCCTATGGCCGCCGCCCCTGGGGAAGATGCCGCCATCCTCATCGTCCCATCGTTGCAAACGTTACCGGCTCCGGCCGCCAGGCCCGGGCAGACAATCTTCCACGAGGGCTGCGGCCAAGGAATCCTGCTGGTGACCTCGCGCTAAGCCGTGCCAGGCAGAGGACAGCGGCAAAGGGAACGGAGAGGTGGTCAGCGCCGGACAGCTTTGACCCGGGCAGGACGATCGTGTGGGACCTCCCCAGATCGGTGGAGGGACGCAGTCGGAGTCAGAAGGGACATTCTTCTGTGTGCCCCGTGTGTCCTGCCCCGCCACGAACTCAGTCCCATCCGTGGCGCCACACGCAGCTCTACCGCACACCCCACGCACACGTGCCTTCGTGTCTCCCAGCGACACTCGGGCCACGCATCACACACGCACCACGCTGTCACCCACACGTGCCAGCACATGCACGGCCCCCGGTGCGGTCACACGCCGTCCGGTGCGTCGACTGGCGCTCACCCTTTGACAGCTGCAGCTCCACCCGGAGCTTCGCCACCTCCTCCTGGAGTCTCGCCAGCGAGTCCGCGGCTGCGCGCCTCTCATTCAGGGCTTGGGGGGAAAGCGGGGAGGGCAGCAGGGCTCAGACACCGACTGGCAGGTCCCCTCCTTGTCCCTTCCCTGCCCCCCAGCCCCCGGTTCCCTCCCAAGCCTCACCTTGGGCCTTCAGGTTGTTCAGGTCCTCGTGGAGCCCGTCCAGGTTGCCGGACAGCTCGGCGTCTGGCGGGCATTGAAGGGCAGGGCTGGTCCCTGGGGCGATGCGCACAGACTGGAGGGCTCCCCCTGCCGCCACCCTGTGGCTCTGGGACACTCCCTCCCTCCCAGCCTGGCCCCGCACCCCCCGCCCCGCCTCTCACCCTGAGATTTCATTCTCTTCTGTTCAGCTCGTAGTTTCTCCATGTCCTGCAACATCTGGGCAGCTGTTTGCAGGGGAGGGGGCTTAGCAGTAAGCAAGTCCTCGGAGCCTCCCCCGTCTACCCCCACCCTGTCCCTTGGACTCTTTCTTTGCCTGCGTTTAGGGCCTCCTGTTCGTTTTGCAGCTCACAGGTGTCGGGGGGCACAGTTGGCCTCAACATTCTGTGTCCCCGGGGATCATCCAAGACCACCTCCCCCTTCCCGCTCCAGACGTCAACCAGAGGTCGCTCACCCTGGGATTTCTGGGCCATCTGGTCATGCTGGTGTCTTTGCAAGTCCTTGGAAATGTGAGAGACTGGAGCAGCGGAGAGAAGATGTGTCCTCAGGAGTCACAAAGGCAGGTCCTTGAACCCCACCCTGGCCCCGTGCGCAGAGGCTCCCCTGACATTTCCCCCTTCCCTCCTTCCCTCCCTCCCTTCCTTCCTTCCTTCCTCCTTTGTATTCAGGCAGGTACAGCCAAGAATAGAACGAACGTGTGTACTCTTCCCTCACCCAGGATTTAATCTAAAAGTGGTGGGCATTTCTCTGAGCGTATCACGAGTCTTTGCTGGTCGCCATCTCACGGCACTAAACTTGCGCCCATTTCACAGATGAGGAAACAGAGGCACGGAGCAGTTATGTAATTCCTGCCATCTACAGATACAGATGGTCCCCGACTTACGATGGCTCAACTCACAGTGGCTGGACTTTAGGATGGTGCCAAAGCGTTATGCATTCAGCGGCAATAGGTACCTCTTGCAAATCCTGGGTCATGGCAGGGAGCCACAGTCCCCAGCTGGCCACGCCTTTTCGACTTCTGATATTTTCAGTGTATGATGGGCGCATCGGGGGCAGAGCCCCATTGCAAGTCGAGGAGCATTTGTATTAAGATGCTGTCGGGAGCTTCTCCAAGCCTTGCTGGCTGGGTACCCCCGCCCAGGGTGGGGAGCAGCGTAGGCTGACCTTTGGTTCCTGAGGGGGGACTGTGAGGCCCAGAGAGGGGCGTTCCCATGGCAGTCACTGGCAGAAGCAGGACGACAGCTGGGTGTCCTAACCCTCGCCTCAGCCCACCCCCCAACTCGGCCCCTCCGTACCGTTGCGGGCAGTGGTCTCCTCCAGCAGTCTCTGACTCCGCAGGGTGTCCCAGTCTGGGCAGGGGCAGAGAAAAGGGGTGGGGGGGGTTGTCCTGTGGCCCCACCCTCCCACACCCCTCCTGCGAGCTGGGAATGGAGGCCTTGAGTGTCACCCATGGGAGGTTCTCAGAGGGTGGGAAATGGGGCGCTGGTTGGGGTGAGGGGCTCTGGGGGATGGGGCATGGGGAGAGGTCTGGGAGGGAACACAGAAGGGCTCGGAGGGTTGGGGGGCCACACGGGGCTAGAGGTGCCCTTACGCCACATAAGAAGCAGGGACAGCAGCCCGGCCCACAGGGCAGCGGTCGCCAGCCCCAGCAGTGCAAGCCGTGTCCCCCACCCACAGCACCGCTTCCTGGGTGACTCTGAGAACCCTGCGGGAGGGGCATAATGGGAGGCACAGGGTGAGGCTGGGCTCTGGCTCTGCCCATGCCCCAGAGCCCCCAGTATCCCTGGGAGCCTGTCTGGAGCCCACACTGAAGCAGAGGGTCTCAGTGGACCCCCAGCTCCCTCTGCACACCTTCCCCTCCTGACTCAGGTCCAAGTCACTGTCCAGAGAGACAGACCTGAAACTGCCCCCCTCCGACCAGCATCACCTCTAGAAAGCTGGGTCCTCCTTTCCCCTTCCTGTCTGACCCCCAGCTCCCACCCTTAGGCCTCTGGGCCCTCAAGCTTCTACCCTGATGCTTGTCCCCAACCCTGAGCCCCTTCCCTAAGCACAGGACACTGGGTCCCGGTTCTTCCCCAACATCTGAGCCACACCCCAGACCCCCCCAGGCCTCACCCCCAACACCTGAGCCCCCCAGATCTCTACCTTGGTGCCCCACCGTGGGCCCCCAGCCCCCTCCCCTCACCGTTGCTCTGAGGACTCATGCCGAATCCCACCTCTTCTGGGTTCCTGTTCTGCTTGGCCTCCGACTCTCTTAAGCTCCCAGCTCCCCAGCTGGAGCCGTTTTGTTGGGAGGGTGTTGAGTCAGAAAAAGGAGGGGCCCCGCCTTCCTCTCCTGTCTGGCTCTGCGCCAGGAAGGCCGGTCAGGGCTCACCTCCTTACCCTCACCCTTGGGGCCCTTCTTAGAAATTCTCCCTCCTTTCTAGAGAAGCACTGGGGGCCTCCCCTCCTCTCCTGCGTGAAAGGTGGCAGGTGAGGGGCCTTGCTTTTTCCAGTGTTAGCGCCAGAAAGTCCTCCCACCTGAGTATTGGTTTTCCTCCATGGTGGCCCTTCTTGGATTCTTCCAGAGACAGGGCGCTCACTACTTGTGAAGGCGGTCCACTCAGTGGGCACAGTCGCAGCTCCGGCTGGGATCTGGGGTTTAACAGAGGGTTGGGGAGAGGCTTCAAGCTCTAGTCACTGGCACAGGACAGCCTTTGGGACTTTGGGGGCTCGGTGACCAGTTACTGACTTTGTTTAGTGCACCACCTGGAATCAGTAGGCTGGTTATCTGGAAGACACAGCTGGGGTCGAGGAACACCAGCTGGAGACCAGGAGCCGGGCAGCCCAGAGCCCATCACCTGCGAAGTACGCAGCAGGTGCTCAATAAATGTGCCCCCCTCCCCGCCGAGATCTTGGCAAGTGGCTTAATTAACCTCAAACTTCTTTCCTCATCTGTAAAATGACGATGTTAATAATACCTACACTGCCGGCTGGTGGTCTGCTCCTTCGGAATACGCAGCGCGCTTTGAACGTGGCCCAGCACATAGTAAACACCAAAAACATTGCCACCTCTTGTCACGATGCTGCCTGTGCCCTCAACCTTTCTGAGCCTCAGTTTTCCCCTCTGTAACATGGGCTGGTGACAGCACTCAATTCATGAGGTCATGATAGGATCCAATGAGACCATGACGCATGGGGGCTTTCAGTGGAGTGTTGCGCACAGTGGGTCTTCAGGTCCTAGCTGTTTACCAAGCCTCTACTCTCTGCCACATCCTGGTGGGAAATGCTGAGACTCTGTCACCCAGGCATCGGCTTCCTCCTCTGCCAATGTGCCCAGGGTTCCCATAAAGTCCTTTGACTTTAAAACATCTACTATGTGCTGAAGAGCATGGGCCTTGGGGTGAGACAAACCTGGAGGTCACCCACCGCCTGCTGCCTGACCATGGTCAAGTCACTTCCCCTCTCTGAGCCTCCAGGAAGTGGGAGGTGTGGGGCGGCCACTCCTCCAGTATTGTGGGAGGAGGCCAGAGGTGTCACCATCCTGGGGCCACAACTGCAGGGGAGGCAGCTGGACATGACTGAGCCCTGGCTGAGCGACTCAGTTTGCTCATCTGTAAACTGGGAGTGTGCAAAGAGCCAGTATACAGTAGGTGCTCAGTAAACCTACTGGTAGGGTGCCGAGAGAGTGTCCTCACTCTGTAAGCTTCTCTCAGTGTAACGGAGGGAGCTAGAAGGGAAGTAATTTGTCCATGTCACACAGTGGTGGGGTGTCTATTGGTAAGTGTCAGGCCGTCTTTCTAACCCGAGAGATTCTGCTTCTGCCTACAGCCTTCCATGGCTCCCCAGGGCCCTCTACGATCAGCCCCCAGTGCACTTGCCAAGGGCATCGTCTCTGCTCAGTCATGCCGGATGGCCGGCTCTCCATTCCCCGAACCAGGTACCCACATGCCTCGAGATTCTGTCCCCACCGTCGCCGTGATTCACCCACCTCCCTTCTCTGGCTGTCATCTGCCCCTGGTCAACTCTCGAGGCTCGACCCAAGGTTGTTTCTTTCGAGAAACCTTCGATGACCACCTCCCACTGCCAAACCCCGACCCACACAGCCACACACTCACTCACATGCAGTTGGAGCGCGTCCCTGTCCTCCTGGGGCGTTGGGGCCGACTGCAGAAGTCGCCAGGGGCTGTCAAGGAGGGAGGTTGAAGCAGGAAGAGAGATAGTTCCTTCTGACAGCAGAACCACCGACAGCTATTTTCATCCACTAACCGTGGGCTTGCCACCCGACGACACGACACGCATGGCCTCCTCTCGTGTTTCCCCGCAACCCGGTGAAGTCCGTACTATTATTATCTGCGTTTCTTAGGTAAGCAAACCAAGCGAGGCCCAGAGACGGTCAGCCCCGTCCCCACAGTGCTGGCGGAGAGAAGTGGTAGAATCAGGATTCGAACCAAGGTTACCGTGCGCTACATCACGATGCCACTGTGGCAAGGAGGGAGGGAAGAGGAGACAGAGAGGCAGAAAGAAAGGGAGAGAGAGAGAGGGAGAGAGAGAAAGGGAGGAGTAAGAGGGAAGAAAAAGAAAGATATGTCATACCATTCCGGTCAAATACTGACAGTTTTGTTGTATAGTTTAATTTAGTAGCAACATACACGAGGCACAGTTCTTAGTGTCTTATATGGGTTAACACATTTCATTTTCACACCCAGCCGAGGACGCTGATGCTTGGATTATCAGTGTTGCCTTATGGATGAAGGATGGGAGGCACAGAGAGATTAAGTAACTTGTCCAAGATCACACAGCTCATAACGGCAGAGCTGGGATTTGAACCCAGGCAGGTGGGTCGGGCATCTGCAGACCTAACTGCTGCGCCACACAACCCCCTATTTACGTGGGCTTCCTTGCCACTTTGCCCACTTTGCCTTCCCTAAAACGTGTCCCCTGATCCTTAACCTCTGTCCCCACTCACCTTTTCCCAAACCCCGGCTCCTGGATGGGCCACCCCCTGACACCTGTCACTCCAGAAGACGCTCACCTGTATGTGCCCCCCGCCCCACCTCCCAGCTGGGACCGGGCTAGGCTGGGCCAACCACTGGGGCTGGACGTCTGTCCCCACCATGTCAGGGAAGGGCCTGGCTGGAATGTCCCTTGGACTGTGCACTCCAGGACAGCGGGGACCATATGTCTTGCTGGTCACCCTGGAGCGAGTGGCCCTTGGTACATGCCTGTTGAACGAATGACTCTGGTGGTCTGAGGCCGTTCATTTTGGGTCCCCAAATGTCCTCCTGGACTTTGATCGGGACTAAAGGTTGAGGAGGGAGATGTCGAGGAGCAGACAGAGGTTGTGGGGGGTGCCGGTGGGCGAAGGGCAGCATTTGAGGCCAGGTGGGTGGGGGCAAGGAGGTGAGGCCCCGAGGGGGACCATCTTGGGGCCAGGCAAGGGTGGGAGGCCAGGAAGGAGGCTGTCCCAGAGTCAAGCAGCCCCGAAGAGGGAGCTGTCACCTGGTCCTGGGGCAGAGGGGCAGTGGCCATGGGGACAGGGAGAAGCAGGTGGTTTGAGAAGAGCTGGGCCTTGGTAATGGGTGAGGTGTGGGCCTGGGGGCCTCCACCGGGGGGTCTGGGTGGAGTGGGACTGTCCTGGCGACGGGGACACAGGGAGGAGGAGGAGGAGGAAGCTTGGGAACAAGTCCAGTCAGGCTGTGTTGAGGACACAAGAAGGGAGGTCTGGATCCAGGACAAGGCTGGAGTTTGCGTTTCTGAGCTGAGGGCTCTGCAGGTCCAGGCACCCCAGCCGGAGGCCACCGTGGGCCCACCACGTCCTTCCTGGGCGCGACAGCTCTGCTTGCTGGGTCCCTGCCAAGGCTCCGCTCTGACAAGAGGACGCTGTGGGGGCCCAGGGGACCCAGTCACGCGACCGCCCCACCTCCTTCCCCTCTGCGGTGTCAACAGGCCTCTTGCTCACTTCGGGGGAAAAACAGAAAGCGGTGCGGATGTGGGCTCCAGATCTGGGGGTGTCGGTTCTTCTTTCGGGTTCCAGATCCTCTACGGGTGAGGTGGCGGGGCTGGGGCTGGGTCCGACCATGACGACCCTAAACAAGGATGGCTGGGATCCCATCCTTAACGGACCTGGATCCCAACTCAATCGCAGCTCAACCTCCGCGACGCTCCAGTCCCCAAGCCCCCAGCCAGAGCTGTGCGCGGGCGGAACCATGTCTGCGGCGCTGATCGAGGAGCCTCAGCACCTGGGACAGGGCCCGGCGAAGGAGCGCCCCTGTCCCCCCACCTCCTCCCCAGCCCCTGGCCCCAGCGCTGGGGACCCTGATTCCCCAACCTCATGGCGACACAGCCTCGGGCTCACCCTGCCCCCCACCCCGTTCAACCTTTCCCGGTGTTGCGAGGGGAAGAAGGGAAGGGTGTGCGGGTGCGTGTGGGGAGGCGTAGAGGGGAAGGGCAGTGGGTGTGTCAAATCCAGGGGGACTTCCAGGAGGAGGTGCCTTCACAGCAGGCTTCCTCACCCGCGCTGTTGACGTCAGGGCGGATGATTCCTTGGGGTGTGTGTGTGTCCTGTGCATTGTGGGATGTTTACCCTCTACCCACTGGATGCACACAAAGGACTGAGTTTGTTGGTTTTTGTTTTTTGAGGCAGAGTCTCATTCTGTCGCACAGGCTAGAGTGCAGTGGCGTCATCATAGCTCACTGCAACCTCCAATTCCTGGGCTCAAGCGATCCTCCTGCCTCAGCCTCCCGAGTAGCTGGGACTACAGAAACACACCGCCTTCGGGCGGATTGTTCGAGCTCAGGAGTTCGAAACCAGCCTGAGCAAGAGCGAGACCCCGTCTCTACTAAAATTAGAAAGAAATTAATTGGACAACTAAAAATATATAGAAAAAATTAGCCGGCCATGGTGGCACATGCCTGTAGTCCCAGCTACTCGGGAGGCTGAGGCAGGAGGATTGCTTGAGCCCAGGAGTTTGAGGTTGCTGTGAGCTAGGCTGACGCCACGGCACTCTAGCCCGGGCAACACAGTGAGACTCTGTCTCAAAAAAAAAAAAAAAAAGAAACACACCATCTCACCTGGCTAATTTTTTTCTATTTTTGTTAGAAACGGGGTCTCGCTCTTGCTCAGGCTGGTCTCGAACTCCTGAGCTCAAGGGATCCTCCTGCCTCGGCCTCCCAGAGTGCTGCAGCCAGGACTGGTACTTTTCTGTTTGTTTGTTCTCTTTTAATTGTGGTAAAATACACACAACATAACACTTGCCATTTTAACCACTTTAAAGTGCACAGCTCGGTGGCATTAAGCGCGTTCACACTGTTCTGCAGCCATCAGCAGCCTCCCTCTTCAGAACTTTCTCATCTTCCCAAACTGAATCTCTGTCCCCATGAACCACTAACTCCCCCTTCTCCCACCCCCTGGCCCCCATGACAGCTGTCCTTAGGGTTCCCACCCCCACCAGGCTGTCACAACAGCCTACTCTGGGGTTTCCCTGAGACCCCTCCTCAGTCCCTTCCCTGCGTGGCAGCCCCCTGACTACATCTTCTTCCTGCTTACAACCTTCCATGGCT